GTCTTTTGTTTTCCTAATCATACCTGGTTTTGGATTTCCACATCAGACAGCTGCTCAAGGCGACTTTTTCTTTATATTGAAATACAAAAGTGTCTCCTTTCTCATCATATTGGATGTGTTCCATTAACAGTCCTCTGTCAGCTCTCTTTACCTGTTCCCTCCACACTTTGGCACAAATTCCCATGATGCTTGATCTGATGGACACAGCTGTCTCTACTTATTTTACAATCCCTTCATTGTATTCGCATATAACCAATGCACTAAGAAGGTAGTATGCAAAAGCTTTTCAAACTATTTTAGAAGATAACTGCTTGCATGATCAAAACAACACCCTCATTAAGTAGAAATCTTGTCACTTGACATGGGCTATGGTCCTACTTTAAGAACTAGGTACCAATCAATGGAGAAAAACTATGTGCTACAGGCAAATAAACTACCACAGATGCTATCTCAGTATGCCCTGTCCCACTCGCTCCCTATATCCCAATAACCTGTCCTCCAATCTCTATATCCTATACCTTTCAGTCTAATGGGCAAAACCAGCTTACAAGCATGGGATTAACCTGACAAAAGTTTCAGTCTGTATAAAGGAACAGGGAGAAGATGGAGAAACTGGAGGAAAATAAGATTCTTTCAAGTTTGAAGTGACACCCTTTGTTCCTTAATTTCAAAAATCCAGTCATGGTAAATTTTGTTCTAAATATTGATATAAATCACTTTAGAAGAAGCTGTAATTTCAAAGAAAAGCAGCCAAGTTCCTTCATTCAAATATTTGCAGAATATCATCAATCTTACCAACCTAAAATCGTATGTCAGATGCATAAATTTGACTCCAAGGGTTTTCAAGTAAAGTAATTTGTAACTAAGAATGACATATTTCCTAATGGAAGTATGAAATAAAATATATTACTACTATTGGTAAGGGTATCTGTAGATGAACAGGTAAGGGAGACCTGTATTGAAATGCTACATCAAATTGTATCCGGAGTATAAAGAAAGAAATCACAAACACATGCTGCTGTTGCTTTCTGAACTTTTTCATATTAAGTATGTACAAATATAATATACATGAAAATATATAATATACATGAAAAATTACCCAAATCAACAAAGTGAACACATATTGAACACATAAATAACAACCAAACAAAAAAAAAGACATTATAGACTCCCCAAAGCATCCTCTTATACTCCCTCCCTTTCAGTCACTATTCTTCCCAAGGATATGCACTATCCTACTTTCTGACAACCATATTAAAATTAAGAACATCTTCCCTCAAAGACCTTACTGGCTGGGCATGGTGGCTCATGCCTGTAATTCCAGCACTTTGGAAGGCCAAGGCAGATGGATCACCTGAGCTCAGGATTTCTAGACCAGCCTGGCCAAGGCCAACATGGTAAAACCCCATCTCTACTAAAAACACAAAAATTAGCCAGGCGTAGTGGAGCATGCCTGTAATCCCAGCTACTTGGGAAGCTGAGGCAGGAGAATTGCTTGAGCCCAGGAGGCAGAGGCTGCAGTGAGCCAAGATCATGCCACTGCACTCCAGCCTGGGCAAAAGAATAAGATTCCATCTCAAAAAAAAAAAAAAAGACATTACTAGGCTTATATATACAGTTTGTTACACTTATTTCCAACATTTATTCCCAAAAATGACAGAATGTACTTTGATTTACGACTCTTTTTTCAACATTTTAACCATTAAGTAATACACATTTCAGATTTTATGAAATCCACACTAAATAGACTTTAAGGACTCCCCAACCCATGAGAGCTGTTATACAAACATTACTATGAAAGATTAAGTGATGGGTCAGGAATTACTGAATATTCATCACTGTGGACCACTAGCCACTTGACCAGGACTTAATTAAAAGCTGCATGCTTTTAATTAAAAGTACCTTTCTACAGTACCAGAAACACTGCTGACCCCTCTAGATTTCTTCCTGTTGCGAAGATTCACAGGATACAAGAGAGAGTAATGCTTTAACAAAGCTTGTTTCCTCTATTCAGTGGTCCAGTAATTCAGGGGGATGTATACAGGAATACATGGCAAAGATGTCCCAAAAAGATGTTAAGGAAAAAGGAAAGCACAAAATTCAAAAAAGAGTGCTAACGACTCAGTCTCCTGTTCACTTTTATCAAATGTGACTTATATTTTGTGCTTACTAAAAGTTGCAAAATAGAAGATCTCATTTTCAAAGGGGAAATCCTTTAGATAGACAGGAAAGGTACTCAAGAACTGATGCCTATAAAGACATAATTTTCTAACAAACTCATTCTTTACAAAATTTCTGTATTTACCCCAAAGTGATTTGTAAGAGAGAAATTTCATTCATATATGCATATGTATGTGTGTATATATATTCGTTTCTTAAAATATTCACAAACACTTTTAATTTCCAACTCAGACCTATAAAGATCTGTACTAATCCTATATAAATAATTTTCTTCCTCATCTGATAACTGTTGACAGAGTAGCACTACATTTTCAGACATACTATTTTCACAAACATTTTTGTTTCCTAAACATTCTGAAAAAAAACTACTTGTGCTTTGAAACTAGAACCCCTAATTTTGATGAATGTATTCACCTTAAGTGAATTGGGTTTATTATGAAAAGAACAACAAAAAAGTATCATTAATATTTTTATGTTGTCAAGGACATAACAGACACATACACCTTCCATGATATAACCTTGTATCATCAATCCAAAACAAATTGAGTACTCTTCTCTCAATGAGATTACGGTCGAGTGGCAAACAGATAGAAAATGTATACAAGACAGAATCTAAGTGCCTTAAAAGACACAGAGATCACATACTACAAAAACATTCCCAAAGGGTGTTAGGTAACAAATGAAGTCTGTTATCAAATAAACACAGGAAATAAAGAAATGTATTAAATAAATTTAAACAGACAAAATAGTAATCACCATTGCCAGTCTCAATAGAAGGTAGCATTTCCTAAGCATATTTGACCAGGGCATCCTGATTTGCATAGTATGTTGAAAATCTAATGTTCTGCAGACAGAGAGTGGGAAATGTTATCTTTAGGAGATTTAAAAAGAGAAGTTACTATAAGCTAAGGAGGTCAAGAAAGACTTCATGTAACAATTACATGAAGACTCCATAAATATCTACACTGGGCCCAGAAAGATATATAGGATTAAAACATCATAAGAAGGGGTATTAGTGAAAAGTTCATTCCAGTCAAGAAGACAAAGGAAAAATGTATCTCCAACAAAATGAGAATAATGAGTGGTTCAAATTAAATATGACATAAGAAGCATGGAAATTGAGTTGTAGAAAAGATTTAGCAAGGATGCTCATAAAGTAGGTTTTGGTGTACCAAAACCTTTGGGAGTTTCATTGGTAGTAAATGGACAAGGCAGCCATATATCTGTGTTCACTTAGGACTTTACAAGTTTACATATGTTGATCAGAGTTAAGTCCAGCATGGCAACTATGCAAATCAAAAGACTGCAGTTTGGATGATAATTATATAATCACTTGGCAATTTTTCTAAGTTCTTATCTTTCAGATGTCCGTAATAAATACGTATAAATTAAATTCTATAATGTCTGCAATAGGCTTCAAAATAATTGAGAAAGGGGTATAAATAAAAAAGATTGTCCATTATTTGATAGTTGTTGAAACCAGATAATAAATGCATGGGTGTTTTTTTATATGACTTGTCTAGTTATATACATGTATGTATTACCCCAAATAAAAAGTTATTGTTTATGGCCTTTACAGGAAAAGAAATGGCATATCTGTGGCACTAAAAATGTAATTAAGATACAATATTTTTGTCATAGCACTACATTATTACATGTTTACATAAGCCAAATTATTGAATATTGAAGACACTTATATATCTAAAATACATTTAACCAATTTAAGATGACTAAAAATATACTTTTTCCTGCAAGAACTTTCCATTTCAAATAGCAATAAAAACTAAGAAGAATACATCCTCTATTCTCTCTTCTGCTTAAAACTTTTTTTCACTCTTACCTCTGTCACATACAGTTTAATTGAGAAGTTATAGTAAAATTGGTAATAGGAAATTGCTAAATTGCTTTATTTGAAAATATGCCAACCTCTATACTGATTCTGTCAATGTATTTTTTCCAAGGTTTTAAATATTTACATTTTGTTTCATCATAGAGAATATCTGTACATTGGCCCAAATGAGGACTTGCCACAAATTCTATTACAAAATCGCAAACTGCCAAAACTCCCACTGAAAAGCTGCAAATACTATCAAATTACAAACACAAACAAAACTTTTAAAGGAAATTCTCCTTACAGTCTTACAGGTACATTTTTCCTTTGTCTTCTTGACTGGAATGGCCTTTTCACTAATACCCCTTTCTCCTTATGATGTTTAAATCCTATATATCTTTCTGGGCCCAGTGTAGATAGTAATTCTTATATGAAGTCTTCTTGACCCCCTTAGCTTACAGCAACTTCTCCTTTTAAATCTCCTAAAGATAACATTTCCCACTGTTTATCTAAACTAAAATATGTTTATTTAAAAGTATTGAAGGTCTTAAAACATTCTTTTAAAATATAAGCCTTTACTTGAAAAATATGTATTTTTTTTCACCTTTTGGTTAAATGACAGATACTTGTATGTCAGTAAAAACAAATTTTGCTCATATGCAAAGGTATAATATACAAGATAAAAGTATGGTATGTTAAGCAATTTAACAACTGCTTTGAAAGCATGAAATAGCTATATGAAACTAAATCACAATTTCTCAAGGAGAGTATGTAAGGAGAAAGGTAACCTACAACAAAGCTATGAAGAAAATGTGTTAGAAAGTTGAAAATATATATCATACAATTATAGAGGACATCCACAGAATCACAATTACCAAAACTGAAAATATTAAATACTGTGGAGATATTTACAGCTAGTTTTCTGATTGTGTCAAGTAAGTAGTATAAACCCAAATGCATATCAAGGGGAAAAAAATTTGGTACATACTTGTGACAAAGAATTTCTTTGTGAAAGTACAGCTATCAAAGGCAGCAATTTTCTCCTGCAAGACTACAACAAGAATCCTAAAATTAGAAGGAAAAAAAAAAAAAAAAAAAAAAACAGAAAGAAAAAAGTGAATATGAAATTCAATAAGTAGAATCAGAAATGCATTATATCATCTAGATGAAAACAAACGCCTATTAATGCAATTTGAAAATTAAAGATTTCCTATAATATTTAGTCTAGGAACTTCTGCCTCTTAAAATGTAAAAATATAAACCAAAAAAATCCTATATATAAGTAAGACAGACGAGTAGAAGAAAAGTCATGAAAGAAAAAACTACCACCTCAAAAACATGTTTGTCTTTTAATGAAGTTTTGTTCTGGCCAGGTGTAATGGCTCATGCCTATAATCCCAACATTCCTGGAAGCTGAGGCAGGAGGATCACTTGAGGCCAGGAGGTCAAGACCAGCCTGGGCAACATAGGAAGACCTGTCTCTATAAAAAATAAAAATAAAATAAATTAGCCAGATGTGGTGGTGTGAGCCTGTAGTCCTAGCTACTCAGGAGGCTGAAGCAGGAGGATCACTTGAGCCCAGGAGGTCAAGACTGCAGGAAGCTATGATTGTACCACTGCACTCTAGCCTGGGCAAGATCTCGTCTCTAAAAATATAAATACATAAAGTTTTGTTTTCATTTATTTTTGAGTCGAGTAAGTCTACATTAAGAATGGGTAACATTAAGCACAGCACAGTGTTGTATGAGTGTGATCCCAGCTACTCAGGAGGCTGAGGCAGGAGGATCACTTGAGCCCAGCAGATTGAGACCAGCCTGGGCAACATAGTGAGGTGCTGTCTCAAAAAGAAATGGAAAAAAAAAAAAAAAAAAGGATAAAAAAGATAGTAAATTGTTGGCTATCTACTAAAAGTGTTTTCCAGTGATGTTTTAGTCATGGTATTAAACATAAAATGGATTTATGTAACCTATCACTTTAAGCCTAAATGGCTGATGAATTTCCCAACACATATAAATCTAAGACAACTGCTACTCAGTGTAAACAAGACATTTCTGATGACTCAATATAGTAAAATTCACTAAGAATCTGTAAAAGCAGTATTTTTCCCCAATGCCCAAGATTTGTAAATAATTAGAAAATAATTTAGTTATAAACACTTTATTAAAGCAAAATTTTTAAAATACATCCAAAACCACTACTTTATGTTGTGTTATTCCTTTCAGGACATTAATATAAATAGCCAAGCTTAATATTTACTTCAAAAAATCAAATAAAGATGATAATTGTTAATAAATATTTAACAAACTAATAGCTTATTTTTCCAACTTCGAGGCTGGGAAATCTGGGCAACAGAAGCTAATATGAGTAAGAGAAAAATAAAAATGTATTATTTAATATGCATGCTTTGTTAATTTTGTTCATTTTTTTAATTGTACTTTAGGTTCTGGGGTGCACATGCAGATCATGCAGGGTTGTTGCATAGGTACTTACATGGCAAGGTAGTTTGCTGCCTCCATCCTCCCATCACCTATATCTGGCATTTCTCCCCATGTTATCCCTCCCCAACCTCCCCACCCCACACTGTCCCTCCCCTAGTCCCCCCCAACAGACCCCAGTGTGTGATGTTTCCCTCCCTGTGTCCATGTGTTCTCATTGTTCAACACCTGCCTATGAGTGAGAACATGTGGTGTTTGATTTTTTGTTCTTATGTCAGTTTGCTGAGAATGATGCTTTCCAGATTCATCCATGTCCCTGCAAAGGACACGAACTCATTATTTTTTATGGCTGCATAGTATTCCATGGTGTATATGTGCCACATTTTCCTTGTCCAGTCTGTCATTGATGGGCATTTCGGTTGGTTCCAGGTCTTTGCTATTGTAAACAGTGCTGCAGTGAACATACCTGTGCATGTGACTTTATGACAGAACAATTTATAATCCTTTGGGTACGTACCCAGTAATGGGATTGCTGGGTCAAATGGAATTTCTATTTCTAGAACCTTGAGGAATTGCCACTCCCAGGAGTCTAAATTAGTTCAACCATTGTGGAAGACACTGTGGCAATTTTGTTCATTTTTAAAAACAACAATTTAATTTACTGATGTAGAATAATTCTAATGAGTGACTACTGTTAAATCCTTGTGATTTTTTTTTCAAGCTGGGCCTGTTAAAAACTTTTCTAGGCCAGGCGTGGTGGCTCACGCCTGTAATCCCAACACTTTGGGAGGCCAAGGTGGGAAGATTTAGATGAGGTGTCTAAGGGCTAATGATCAAGACATTTACCATCGTAGGGCTTCAGTTTGCTCATATGGAAAAGGAAAGTGCTAAGTGATAGAAGAGTCCTAAGGTTCCTTTCTCCACTAAATGTTCTGTGATTAATTTGTCATTAGCACTAGAGGTCAGATAGAAGTTCAAGATAGATTTGAATATTTTCCCAGCAACTAAATGAAACAAATGTTAAGGATAAAAATCAGTCTAGTCCCTATTTTAGTGCCATTGTGAAGTATGAAGCAATAAAAATATTCTAAAGCATTTTTCATAGTTCAGGAACATGATTTTCAAAAGTTTTGGTGGGTTCTCACAGCAAAATTACATTTCACATCATAAATCAGCATATACATCATACATATAAAAAGCTGTATTAAAAGATTTCTCGAAACAATACTTAACTGTTTTAAGTTTGCTCTGATACTTTCTATTTGTTTCCATTTTGTTTTACAAATGCTCACTGTATCCCACTAAACTGAATTCACAGTTCCCTAACGGATCAAGACTACAAGTCTGAACATGTTCATCAAGAAATCGTAGCGCTATTCCACTGAACAGAATTAAGAAGGTGTTTTCTTGAGATTTTAAAAAATAAATCTAAGTTAGCCATTGAAATTGGTAGAGTTCTCCATGCCAAGGAAAGCATGTTTCTTATTTTATACAAGAAACATATGAAAAAAATCCTTACCGTTTATTGCAATGAAGATCATAAATGGGTGTCTTAAACTGAATGGACTTGACCATCTCCCCAGTACGAAGTGAATACAGATCCACACAACAGTACGGTGGGCTTGTGCTAAAAAAGAAAAATGCCATTATTTTTTTAAAAGAAGACCAATAATCTCTACATTTTCTTATTAATATAATATTTGAACCTCTGATTAACAAGATATTAGTAAACTGATTCACAACTTACCCCAAAAATGATCATAATATATCCTTTATATTATGTCAACTTAGGAATGCAAAATTTGGCAAAGAAAAAATATCACCCACCAAATTAGTACTACACGGAAGAAAAATTATATGATTAGACCAGGTGAGATCACTCATGCCTACAATTGCAGCACTCTGGGAGGTCGAGGGGGGCAGATCGCAAGGTCAGGAGTCTGAGACCAGACTGACCAACATGGTGGTGGAACCCTGTCTCTACTGAAAAAAATACAAAAATTAGCCAGGTGTGGTGGTGCATGCCTATAATCCCAGCTACTGAGAGGCTGAGGCAGGAGAATTGCTTAAACCCAGGAGGTGGAGGTTGCAGTAAGCCAAGATCACACCACTACACTCCAACCTTGACAACAGAGTAAGACTCCATCTCAAAAAAAAAAAAAATAAGAAAAATGATATGATTACACCAATAGATACAGAAAATAATCTGATAAACGTCAAAGTCTATTAATAAGGAACATTTCCTTAAAATGATAAAGGGTACCAACCTTAAAACTAACAAAGAAAAGTTGGCAAACACTTATAAAAAATGAAAAAGTTTGACCCTAAAAGCAGGATGCTAGAAAAAAATGCTCATTATCACAATTTCTATTCAACATCGTATGGAAGGTCTTATGCATGTCAAGAAAAGTAATTACTAGGAGGAAGAAATAAAACTGTCATTATTTGCTAAAAACTTGATTGTGTAAAAGCCCAAAAATACCAATCTGTACGTAGAAATATATGTCATCTGTACATAAACACACACATACACAAACACAAACACACACACACAGGTATATTCACAATAAAGACAAACTGTTAGAATATATGGATTTATGAAGGCTACTAGATAAAAGTATAATATACAAACATCAGGTATATTTTAATAAATTGAGAACAATTGGTAAAATTTTAACCCTTGAATATCTTGAACAAATCTAAGAAAATATTTGTAACATATGTACACAAGAAATAAAATGGTTTTTAAAAAATACCTATGTAAGCTGGACATGATGGCTTATGCCTGTAATCCCAGCACTTTGGGAGACGATGCAGGCAGATCACTTGAGGTCAGTAGTTTCAGACCAGCCTCGCCAACATGGTGACACCCTGACTCTACTTAAAAATATAAAAATTAACTGGGCATGGTGGCAAGCACCTGTAATTCCAGCTACTAGGCAGGCTGAAGCAGGAGAATTGCTTGAACCTAGGAGATGGAGTTGCCGTGAGCCAAGATTATGCCACTGCACTCCAGCCTGTGAGACAGAGTGAAACTCTGTCTCAAAAAAAAAAAAAAAAAAACTAAAACTAAAAAAACCTATGTAAAAGCAAATAACATGGCCTAAAAGACTCTCTAAACTGATAGATTAAAACCTCATCAAAAATATACCAGAAATGAGATCTCATTCTAGAACATATATGGAAATGCATTCCATATGATTAAGACTTATTGTAAAGGTATAATATAGAAAAAACCGTGTTCTAGACACAGGGACAGACAAAGAAACCAATGTTTCCAATTTAAGAAAGTTTTAAAAGAGCAGCTAGTTAAATTCAATAAAAGGAAATAACAAATAAGGAATAAGGAAATAAAAATGCAACAAGAATTCGATAAAATGAGTAAGCAATGAGGAGGAATCAGTAAAGATAAAATTTTTATTTTTTTAAAGATAATAAAACCAATAACTCTAGTCAAAGTTTTAAAAAAAATTACAGAAGGAACAAGTAAGTAATATAATAAAAAAAGGAATATTCTGATAACACAAATTCCTTAAAATGTACAAATTGCCACAACCAATCTACACAGGACAATTTGAATAGCCCAGTATCTAAAAAGAAATTGAATTCATAACTTCTTACAAAGAAAATCCTCAAAAATGCCTTTATCTCTAAGCTCTATAGATTAATCAAACAAAAAATTATAGCTATCACACACAAACTCTTTCATAAGGTAGAAGAGTCACTTTCCAACATATTTTATAAGGTCAGCAGCACACATCCAAAAACTAAATAAATATATTACAAGACAATAAAAGATATGCTTGTATATCTATATGTCTCATAAATACATGTCCAAAACTCCTTAAGAAAATATTAGCAAATAAAATTGAGCAATACAAAATCAGGTGAAGTTTATTGCAGGAATGCAAGGCTGGTTTACTACAGAATATCTATTAATGTAATTCACCATATTCACAGGAAAGGGGGAAACCACTCTAATTACTGCCACATTAGAAAGATACAGATGTGGCATTTTTAGAAATAAAAATGCAACACCCTTTTCAAGAGAAAAACACTGAACAAACCATAATTAGAATTAGAACCTGATAAAATGCATCGATAAAGAAATCTATAGATGTAAGAATAAACACCTTCCCCGTAAGGTCCAGAACAAGGCAAAATTTTCTGATCTTATGACTCCTATTCAGCATTGTATAAGAAATGTTACCCAGTGCAATAAGTACAGGCAAATAAATCTAGACCATCTGGATTGTAAAGGTAGAAATAAAACCATCACAAATAACATTATCTACATTTAAAAAAATCCCAAAGAATCTCTTTAAAAAGCTACTAGAATTTTACCAAGGTTGCAGAATTCAAGGTCTACATATAAAATCATATGTTTGTATAGAAATGAGCAATTTGAAACTGAAAGCATTATTTGCAATAGCAAATACAAAATATGAAATTCTAGGAAATAGAAAATATGAAATAATTCTATATAAGTGTAACACAATACATGTAAGATTTGTACACTAAAAACTATAAAATGCAGATAAAAGAAATCAAAGACCTACATAAATAATAGTAAATACCATGTTCTTGGATTGGGAGCTATATTCTTAAGATGGCAAGTCTCCCCAAACTGAACTATGTATTTGTTTTGTTTTGTTTGTTTTGTTTTTATTATACTTTAAGGTCTGGGATACATGTGCAGAACGCACAGGTTTGTTACACAGATATTCATGTGCCATGGTGGTTTGCTGTACCATCAACCCATCATCTACATTAGGTATTTCTTCTAATGCTATCCCTCCCCTAGCCCCCCAACCCCTGACAGGCCCCAGTGTGTAATGTCCCCCTCCCTGTGTCCAGGTGTTCTCATTGTTCAACTCCCACTTATGAGTGATAACATACAGTGTTTGGTTTTCTGTTCCTGTATTAGTTTGCTGAGAATGATGATTTCCAGCTTCATCCATGTCCCTGCAAAGGACATGAACTCATCCTTTTTATGGCTGTGCAGTATTCCATGGTATATATGTGCCACATTTTCTTTACCAAGGCTACCATTGATATGCACTTGGGTTGGTTCCAAGTCTTTGCTATTGTGAATAGTGCTGTAGTAAACATACGTGTTCTTGTGTCTTTTTTTTTTTTTTTGAGACGGAGTTTCGCTCTTGTTACCCAGGCTGGAGTGCAATGGCGCGATCTCGGCTCACCGCAACCTCCGCCTCCTGGGTTCAGGCAATTCTCCTGCCTCAGCCTCCTGAGTAGCTGGGATTACAGGCACGTGCCACCATGCCCAGCTAATGTTTTGTATTTTTAGTAGAGACGGGGTTTCACCATGTTGACCAGGATGGTCTCGATCTCTTGACCTCGTGATCCACCCGCCTCGGCTTCCCAAAGTGCTGGGATTACAGGCTTGAGCCACTGCACCTGGCCACTTGGGTCTTTATAGTAGAATGATTGATAATCCTTTGGGTATATACCCAGTAACGGGATTGTTGGGTAATCATAATCGAAATCCTACCCGGCCTTTTTAAAGACAATGACAGGCCAACTTTAAAATCTTTTGTAAATTAAGATAACATGATTATTACATATGAGCATGCCTAATTTACTGCACGTCACTTTACTGTGCATCACAAAAACTGCATTTTTATTTAATATATATTTTTTTACAAATTGAAGGTGTGTGGGAACCCTGTGTCAAGCAAGTCTACTGAAGCCATTTTTGCAACACTACGTATTCAGTTAGCGTCTCTCCATCACATTTTGGTAATTCTCACAATACTTCAAACTCTTTCATTTATTATATCTGTTAGAATGATCTGTGATCAGTGATCTTTGATGTTACTATTGTAACTGTTTTGGGGCACCACAAAGTGCACCCACAGAAGATGGCAAATTTAATCAATAAATGTGTATGTTCTGGAGGTGCCACCTACCCACTGTTCTCCTGTCTCTCTCCCTCTCCTCAGGCCTCCTTAATCACTGAGACACAGCAATATGGAAAGTAGACCAGGTAATAATCCTAAAATAGACTCTAAGTATTCATTTGAAATAAAGAGCTGCACATCTGTCATTTCAAATCAAAGGCTAGAAATGATTAAGCTTAGTAAGGAAGACATGCTGAAAGCTGATACAGGCAGAAAACCAGAACTCTTGCACCACCTAACCAAGTCATGAACATAAGGAAAAAGTTCTTCAAGGGAATTAAAAGTGCTGCTCCAGTGAACACATGAATGAGAAGAAAATGAAACAGGCTTACTGCCGATATGGAGAAAGTTTTAGTGATTTAGATAGAAGGTTAAACACAACACAACATTCCCTTAAGCCAAAGCCTAATCCAGAGCAAGGCCCTAATGTTATCCATTGCCTAAATGACTTAGTTGGACTCCTACCCCATTTCTTTTGGCCAATGCAATGCCTATGTGACACAGCTAAATTCCTATTCAGCTTTAATTCCATTTATTTTTAGGAAACACAATGTTTGTGGTCAAAAGTTCCTTCTTAGGTCTAAACCAGCTAAAGCTGAAGAAACCCACAATGGCAGCTTACTGGACCTCTGAAGAACCTCTAGCTTCATTATAATCCAATTTCCATGCTACGCTGACACTCCCATCAGCACCATGACAGTTGACA